TACAACCAATGCGATTATCGTATTAAATATTTACCTAATATAAAATCTTGCAATGCTGTTTTGTAAAGAAATTGAATAGCATGTACTGTTATACCCATTATTGTGTCGGAAACCCATCGACCCCTTGTGTTTAAGCGTGCTACTGATTGCACTTTTTGGATTTATCTGGCAGCAGTAGTTTGTCGTTTGCGTCTATCATCGTTCCATAGATGGTTTATTCGTAATTTGACTATGACAAGTAAAGCTAAATTTGAGCACGATGAGCTAGGCGATATTGAGGTTTTATGCGATTTACATCATATTTATCTGAAACCAATTTGTAAAGTGCATTTAACTGTTCAAATTTCTGGTTTAAGTTGTATTGGGGCACAGGGCAGATGCTTATCTACATGGGAGGTTTCAGAAAAGCTGCGGCAGCTTTGTCCGCCTCTTCTTTCGCCGCCTATTCAGATGAAAGTCACGGGCGCAACCGTCGACTTCGTTCGTTTTGTTGTTGAGCTCAACTCGAGAGCTGACGTCAGAAGAGTTATCAAAGCTGCCGATAGCCAGGTATTGTTTGGGCTTTATTCTAAATGATCACTGCAGCTCAATGCCTGCGATTGCATATATTTTTCTGTCAACTTTGTTTCATAATCATGGCAGCGAATAAAGCTTAGTGGGTTTCCCCAAACTTTGCGAGTTCGGGCTGGTGACGCGCCAATCGATTGTCCTCGAAAACACGATTGGGAGGCTTTTTTTCGAGACGCAAAAGATATGAACGAGTTGGTCCCAGGCGAACGCCCTGATACTGTCGTCATCTCCAGGTTACCGGTTCGTTGGTTCGCACGCTCTAACAGCACTACTAAATTTCAACCGGATCCCGATGTTGTCGAAGAGGTTTTTAAGGTAATTGACAATGAGGAAGCTTGTTTCTTTGGTGACTGTGTGTTAATGGAAGCGTCTTTTAGGTGTACGGTAAAATCCGACGTATTGATATTCCAATGTTGGATCCGTGTCAAAATCCTCAACTTTTGACCAAAATGGGTCTCTCAGTAGAATATGTCAGAACTCTCCTATGCGACTTTGGCCACGCGATTTCTGCTGAGCCAGATACTCCTGTCTCATCATCTTCAGTTCACGGTCACGACGGCTTTGGTAAAATGGCTCCTTCAACTATCAAACCGTTATTTTCTGATGAAAAATCGCCAACTTCTATTGACTCAACCTCTCCGCTAACCTTCACGGCCTTTATTCAGTACACGGACTACGCGGGCTTTGCTGCAGCGATGGAGGCTCTAAGGGGGAAGAAACTCATATACGCTCCTAATGATAAGAATAACACGGATTCACCGAAATTCTTTTCTGCTGAAATAAAGGTGGGCACCCCGTCCTCTCATATTTAAACCTGTTTTAAGTGTCCACTTTTTGTGCATTGGCTCGTGTTTAGTCTCCTCGAAACATTTGATACCTGATATTTTAACGAATTCCACTATATAACGGCAATAAATGCTTTGGAATCTAGTACTATTAGCCGCTTTTGTTGGTGCTCTCCACGCATTCGTGTAATGATGGAGTCGCACTTTTCCTTATGCGTTCCTTGTGTATCTGCGCAAGATCTACATCTCTTAGCTGCTCTTTACAGAGGCTACGGTCATCTTATGACACCTAACTACTACGATATTAATTTGATTCCCAGAGAGATTCGAGCTTGCTCATAGAGTGGTAAGTTGCTGGATCTTACATAGAGACAACTTTTCCATCTTTTTAACGCATTGATGAGACTTTTAGGTCTTTGATGGTTCGTATATGTGCATAGATCACAAAAATCATTCTTGCCAATTCAAAAACGAATTTAAGCCCAATAAATGAATGTGTAAGGGTTGATTTCATTTATGTTAATGGCCATTGCCTCTTTGGGTGTTTGAAGCGTTTTGAGTTCGGCCAATGGACCCCTACTTGCCATGATCCTCGTTAAAGCATGGTTTTGGAAACCTCACTGTCTTTTCATTATCTGCAAACACGGATCACTGGAAGCTTCGTATGCTTTCATACCTTAGC